ATCTTTCAAGCAGCAAGGACTCCGTAGTGTCATGGCACCTGCAGTGCATGGGTGCAGAGTCGCGTCACAGTGTCTGACCGAACAGGAAATTGCTCGAACACGAACTAAAGTACATTTGCTCGCAGGTAACATATGGTCAGAAATTTGACCGTGTTATTATTTTACTAACAAAAGTTTATTCTTTGTAACATAGCCGCGTATGTTATTCTACTCGGTAATATCGAAAAACTAATTTTCTTCGTGAACCCACAGTGTCATACCATTTTGTATTATGCATGATGGAGGTGGCTTAGTTTCTATTCGAAGCGTAGCAATGCAGTTTTGTATTCGTGCACTTGCATGTGCTGTAATGTAACGGAGCTGTGTCCTGGACAAAGGTTCTTTAGGCGTTCAGAAGCACTTCGTTTCGAAACATTGACACTTTTCTCTAACAGGCGATACAGAAATTAGCATCTGATAGTAAATCCATATCATGCGTAATTTTCGATTATACTTTTAGCCGCGGTGATAGGTGCGATTTTTTGTGTAAGTTCTGGAAAAGACACAAATATTAGACGTTTGTTTTGTTGCATCGCTGATAGTTGTTTTTCCCAAAATGTTGAGACTGTTAGGTCTTCCACAACCGATATTTCAAGATAGTGCAATCTCTGTCACGCCCGAAGAAGACGTCAGAACCGAAACAGGACTTTATAAACACCTTCCATGAGCTACAATTGCGTATTATATGTGACTAACACTCTCTGTTCATTCATGTTGCATAATTGAAATGTGAAGTCTGTTAAGAGTATCTACGATACAGGCACGTCACCTGAATCATTGTATTATATCGATAAGTGGGGACTTGTCGAGGTGATTCGAATAATGCCTTTGCCATCTGGCAGGTAAATCATGGGTTACGTTGTTTAGCAATAGCTTCCAACTTCCCCAGTTTTTGTGTGACAACGCCTGTTTCTCTCGTTCGTATTAATAGCCGTGAAAAGACGCCATTATGTGTTCTTTGATATGACAGTCTGGAGTTGCTACATCATAAATTTGGCTTTGATCCTTTGTTCTTGAGACGAGTGTCTTATCTTAAATATTTTTAATACGAGTCGCTAACATTAGACGGTTTACCTTTCCTTGGATAAGTTGATTGAAATTCAGCGTTGGTTTGAAACAAAATCCTTGTTTCGTCGATGACGTCACGCCTTGAATGCTCATTTATGCTTGTCGTTGCTAGACGTAGCTGCAGAGGCAACTCAGTGGTTCACGCGCTGGTTCACATTTGGTTTACCAATAGGTGGTCCGTACCTTGGCAGGCTTCATCATATGATGTTGATTTAGTCTGATTCGTATATATCTGTAAGAATAACAATTTTTTTTGATAATGAAGTCGTTTGTCGCACAAAGCCAATAAATCACATTCTGTTGTTATTATTTGCGGCCACATGTTTCTCTAACAGTATGTCTTTGAAAAGCGTTCTCGTTGTATATTGGACTTTTGTTTATGAACGGGTTGGTTTCATCGCCTTTTGAGATGCACTGCATAGCATTTATTGCTGGTTGCATGGTGTTTACGCATGACAAGTAACTGTGTGTCCCAAATTTTGATTAAATTCATACATTGTGTTTATGTTGCCAACCCTTGTTTTTATAACACTGTGTTATAGACAAGACCAACTTGTGATGCGTTGTCTTAAATCTGTTTCTAACTTTTTTCACTTAAGTAATCTCCAGTATTTACACGCAGACGATATTCGACAAGCTGTTTCACACGCT